CTTCCAGCTTAGGCCCAATCCCCCCGAGGAGCAGGCCTAAGCCAGCAGGTGGTCATCCTCCGAGGTGTCCCAGACTGCGAGAGGGCATAGGCCGGGCTGAGGGGACACCCCCCCCTCCCCCAGTGCACAAATTTTTGTGCACCAGGCCTCCAGTATAATGATAATGTGTTTTGAGCACTTTGGGAAAATAGTAATCATAAACATACCTTAATTAGAAATAGCATTTATAAGGTTAGAACCAGTTAATGATTCCAGGCTGAATGGTTAAAAATCACTACTATATCAGTTGTTTTTTAAAAATGGGTTTTTGGAAGGACAGAGAGAGAGAAAGAAACATTGATGTGAGAGCAAGACATAGATCAGCTACTTCCTGCACGCCCTCTACTGGGGATGGAGCCTGCAACCTGGGCATTTATCCTGACAGGAATGGAACTGGCAATCTTTCAGTGCTAGGGCTGACTCCCAACTGAGTCACACCAGCCAGGGCTACTATATCAGTTTTTAAGAACAATAAGTTATTTAAATAACACATAGTACTAGTGTATTATTGAATAAATAGGTGTTGGATTAAATTTCTTTAAAATGAAAAATTTACACAAGAAACTAAAGAAACGCTGGATTGTGTGTTTTGGTATGGGAGTGTGAAATGGGAAGGAAATGGCTTGTTGGTTTTTTGTTGTTCTCTCAATAGGTAAGCCTCCTTATTTTATTTTAAACATTTTTATTGATTTCAGAGAGTAAGGGAGAGGGAGAGAGAGAGAGAAACATCAATGATGAGAGAGAACCATTGATCGGCTGCCTCCTACACGCCCCACATTTGGGAACGAGCCCGCAAGCGGTCATGCGTCCTGATCGGGAATCAAATCATGACTTCCTGGTTCATAGGTCAACGCTCAACCACTGAGTCACACCAGCTGGGCAGCCTCCTTATTTTATAAACTGTAATTTCCAAACTGCTTCTTCCCCCTAAAAGGCCCAGGAATTTAACAGAGAAGGAAAAGAAAGCTGAGAAGGTAACTGCATCATGTTTTTATTTTCTCCTTCTGTGCCCACATCATTTATATTTACTTTAATACTTGCTACAGTTATCTTTGTTTTATATTTGACAGTCTAGAATATGCTCTAGTTATGTAGTAGATCCACTAAAATAAAATAAGTTTGGATTTTCATAATTGGATTTTAACCATAATCTTTCAAATAATTTGTAGTAGTTAAGGGATTTTGAGGGAGTCTCTGTGTTTATTCTAGCATGTGGTTTACCCTTCCGTATTCTTATTCATTGCCATTATTTTACTCTTCATACTTAAAGGAAGAAACCCAAAATAAACAAAACAACACAGCCCACCTCACCGCTTTCCCCCCAAAACACACACAATACTATTAAAGCCACAGATAGTGACTAACAAAGCTGTTTTCAGAAGGTTACATACAAAGAATGCCTTGTTAATTCGTACAGTGGAATCTCTGCATGTCTGTTTTTTTAGTGTAGTGCATGAGAGCACTCCAGATGGTTTGTGAGGGCTAGTCCTTTGTAGAACACTGGTCTCTTGTTTTGGATATGGATTTTTACTCTTTTAGAGTTTTCATTAACAGATAGTATCATTTTCATATCTCAGCAGGGTTGCTTTTTTATTTGTATGG